AAGAATTGTATATATTTCCACCTTCCCCTCTCCTCAACAAGAAAGGCAAGATTTGAGTCTTAGAGGCTCAGATCTTCCCTGGTCCCAGGTGAGAGTGAAAAGCATTTTGCATTCTGACAGTTCAAGAAGTTTCTTGGATGGATGGGGCAGAGGTGAGTGAAGCTCTGAAGCTTAGGGAGGACTGAATGAGTGCTTTCTTAGACTGGGAATAAGTTAGGCCCTGAGGTGTGTCTGCAGAACATTCACTGTGCATTTTCACATTTTAAAGGTCTGAGCAGTCCTCAGTTAGAAAACCAAATAAACAAAAAAATAGCATTCCCCAACCTTATTTAATTTTAAAACACTTTCCCACAGTTTTCCATCGACAGAGTTTTGGGAAGTTCTGACTTAGAACAAATACAAACTATTATGTACCCAGAACTGAGACCACTCCCATCAATATAGAATTGCTATTAAGATCAAGAACTGAGACCACCTCTGTCAACCTGTCTTGTTTTTTGCCCAAGAAAGATAAGACTACACCAGTACAAACTTCACTGTGTGTTCAGGAAATTCATGAAGATCAGTCTACCTGAGAGAATAGTTCTACCTGGGCAAACAGCTCATTTATCAAATAAATAAACAAATACATAAATAACACAAGACTTAGCTAAAGACCTTGCTAGTATGTCATGAGCTTTACCCAATGCCAGTTTCCTACCTGAAATCACAAGAGCCTAGAGCAGCGGTTCTCAACCTGTGGGTCTCAACCCCTTTGGGGGTCAAACAACCCTTTCACAGGGGTCGCCTAAGACCATCGGAAAACACATATATAATTACATATTGTTTTTGTGATTAATCACTATGCTTTAATTATGTTCAATTTGTAACAATGAAAATACATCCTGTATATCAGATATTTACATTACGATTCATAACAGTAGCAAAATTATAGTTATGAAGTAGCAACGAAAATAATTTTATGGTTGGGGGTCACCACAACATGAGGAACTGTATCAAAGGGTTGCAGCATTAGGAAGGTTGAGAACCACTGGCCTATAGCCTCCCCCGAACCCCATCAACATCCCCTCTGACTTCCACCTTCTGAATCATTGCTAAGATTCGGTCACGGTGGTGCTCTTCATGGAAGTGAGATTTAGTGAATGTACCTTTGCTCTATTCCCACAACTTGTCTGGTGATTTTTGAGGAATGTGTACCCTGAGCAGTTTGGCCAAATGACTAAAACCCGCGTCTTCAAGGAATTGGCTTCCAGTTGCTGGGCCTGTCTCCCAGATCACAGAGGGGGATTTTGACACCATTCCAAGTCAACGAGCTTTTCTTCCAAAACTGGAAGTTATGTGAAGCTCAGTTCCCATAAAGGTACCCAAGCATACAAGTGTGGCCCTCAGAACAGTGTCCAAACTCTTGTAAAGGGCCTATGACCAGATGAGCACAATGACTGAAAGCACTTTAATAGAGTAGTAGTATGCCTATTGAATCTAATTTCCTGAATGCTTATATTTGTATGTGTTGGTTTTTTATTTTCATTTTTATAGTAATAGTTTTTATTATATTGTTAAGAAAAAGTATTTAAAACTTCAAATTAAGGCAAAACTGTGCTTGGAAGTGAAGTTCTTTCAAAGTCAAATACAGGCATTACCTAACAGGTACAGTCAGGAATTATTTAATTCTCCAGGAAAATAGAATTTGTTCATCTCATTGAAAGTTGCATATTTAGTAAAATTATATGTTAATTTGTATATTTCTGCATATTAGAGATGCAAATAATATTCAGTAGAAAAAATAACTCCAATAGTTAGTTACTTGCCCTGTAGGACTTTATATGTTGCCCAATAAAATTATTCTAGTATTCCTTTATTATCAAATTGCCTATAAATACCTAGATCTTCAAATGTTCCTTGAGTCAAAATTATCATCTTATTGGCCTGTTTTTCACTGATGGATTTGGACTTGTGTTCACTTTAAATTTTTTAAATTTTTTATTGATTGATTGATTGATTGGAGAGAGAGAGAGAGAGAGAGAGAGAGAGATTTGTTGTTCCACTTATTTATGCATTCATTGGTTGATTCTTGAATGTGCCCTGACTGGGGATCGAACACCCCAACTGAGCTACCGGCCATGGCTTGGGCCTATGTTCACTTTATATTTCTATGATTAATGTTTCTAACTTATCAAAATTATAGGCTGACTTTTTTTTTTTTTAAGTGAAGTGCCAGTTTGAAATTCATGGAAACAAAACAAAAATAAAACAAAAGCTGGTCTTCTGCTCCAGAATGCTTGAAAACACTGTTCTAACTCTCTCTGGGTTTTCTTCCGCTGCTGAAATTCTTGGAACTTCCTTACTTGCTGATCTTTGTGAGGTCTTGTGATTCACGTCTTTGAATGAACCTGTGAGCTACACTATTTCCTTTCATTAAATCCCTGTGTTGAAAGTCTTGAGTTGGTGAGGGTTTATCAGAACTGATAAAGTCACGAAATTGTAATTGTAGCTGACACAGTACTTTCAAACAGAGAACACGCAACCTCTCCTTGGGCTATGCCCATCGCAAAAATGTGCCTGATCAGAAATGTACATGATGAGAGCAAAAAATTGAATTAGGCTATTCCCAAAGCAAAACAGGCAACTTTGGACATAAAACAATTTTTATACACATCTTCATCTTAGGCCTCACTCACCCTAGAAACTGCCTTGACCTTGATCCAAAATAAAAGAAACACCTAGAAGCTTAATCAGGGCTGCCATGCTCCTCCACCATTCTCCAATATGGACAAAGGCCTGGGTCTAGCCAGACCCTCCATGCCCCTGTGGACATTGGGAATGACCACTGGACCACATCCCCATGGGCATCCACCTGACACTTTCAGTTTCCCCTAATCTCAGTCCTCCCTGTTGTTAGTCTGTTTGCTTCTTTGGTGCCTGGAATTTAATGCTGAATCCCTTTTTTAGCCTGATTTATCCCCACTCACCCTCACTCTTCGTTTTTAATTCCACAAACTTCCTTCCACTGAAAAATGCAGTGCTAACCATATTCCTTGGAGGTTTAGACTCATAGTTTGAAGTGTTTTCAAGCACTAATTATTTCTTTCATGTTATTCAAAATCAATGTTTCCTCATTTGGAATTCCCTCTGCCCCCATGGAATTTAATGTATACATATGAAAATGAAAACCAATTTTAGCTAAAAATAGATCTTCTGGGCGGTCTCTGGAATCAGCTGACATACACAGTTAAGAGGGACCTGGATCGCTGACAACTGCTTGGGCTTCAATTGGGGATAAAACAGGCTGGTGCAGCAGTTGGCCACTTTTCAGGGTGGCCTGCCAACACATCATTTATCAAGTTGCTCACAAGTAGAAGCAGGGTCGGGGGGTGGTGTGAGGGGGGTGGCTGGGAACTGGAGGCTGGGCCACCACCACACCCAGCTGCCCCCAGAAGCAGCTGGGCCCTTAACAGGCCAACTAAGTGCCGAAGCTGGATTGAGGACTGACTTTTCAGGGGAATGCTCTCCTATGGAGTGCAGTCTCCAATTCTGAAATCCAAGAGGATCAGCACACGCTAACTGTTTTCATAACTCATCTGGCAGCAAAACCCAACCTGAACTAATATGATGGTATTTGTGGTCTTATTTATCCTACTTAGAGTGAATTTTCATGATTCACTGTAGAAATATCTGTTTTATTACAGGATGCTGCCCCAGAACCCTGGTGGAGTTGTACAATATACAGCATATGCACTTGATTAGTTTCCTAAATGCTGAAACACATAAACACATCTGGATCTAAGGTTGAAAAGAATCACTTCTCAAATGGTTTTCAGGAAGCATCCTTTTAACATTTAGCCCAAAGAGACCAAACATGAGGGAACAGTATGTGTGTATTGGAGAAGGGGGCTGGAGGGATGGAGGCACGTGTCCCTAAAGCATGAACATGCCTGAAAGGGAGACTTGGAGGGAATAGGAAGAACATGTGTTCCAGTTGAGAGGAGCCACATTTCATTGAAAATTCTCTGTGCCACCTTCAGTAAACAACAACAGTGCCCATTCCAAGAGCATCACTGTGCCCAATCCCCTCCCTGGCCTTATTCAGTCAAATGATAAAGACAACAACCTTTATACGTACACAGCCTGCATGTGGCAGGCACTGCCCTAACACTTCTGCATGTGTTTTCTTCATCAATCCTCCAAACATTACCTCCATTTTACAGATGAGAAAACTGAGGAGCTGAGAGGTTGAGTGACTGGAAATACTACCCATTGTAAGTGATGGAGGCAAGGAGTCCACACCGAGCGCCCTGTGAGGCTCTCGGGGACACCCCAGTCTGTTCTCAAAGGAAAGGACAGGAGCACTGGTGTGGGAGGAAACTGGATATAGCATTTCCTGTGGGGAGAGCATGCAGAGCCAGGGGATCAGAGCGTGTTTGCACCATCGGCACCTCCTTTGAGACACCGGATCCTTAAAGGAACCTTTATGCCCTAGTGGGATTATAAATCAGTTGATTAGAAGGGTAAAATGGTATCCCCTTTCCTGGATCACAGTAACTCAAAGTGAAAAACTATTCTCATCTTAGCGCTTTTACATTACTATCTGGTCCCTCTGCCTAAATGTTTACCAACCCAATCTCCCCCTGGCTGATTCCTTCCAGTAATTCAGGTCTCACTTCTCAGGGAAAACTTCTTTGGCACCCATTCATGTAGCAGCCCTCCAGAAACCTCTATTATAGGACTGACCTTGTCTTATTTCTTTCATAGCACTTACCTTCAGCTTTCACATATCATTTTCCTATTTCCTTAAGTGTTTATTTCTATCGTGCCTATCTCTTTCCCTCCACAAGAATAAAAGCTTCACCATAGAAGGCATCGTTTTTTTCTGATTCAAAGTTTTATCCTTTGTAGCTAGTACAGTGCCTGGGATAAAGTAAGTAACTATTCTGATTCACGTCCGTGGCTGGATGGAGTAGGACAGCATGAGATTTTATCACATGACTCAGAATGGCACACAATTTAAAACTTGTAAGTTGTTTATTTCTAGAATTTTACACTTAATGTTTTTAGACTGCGGTTGACTGTGGGTGACAGAAACTGAAGATAGCAGAACAGCAGATAAGAAGCGGACCATTGTATTCTTAATTCCTTGAAGAAAAATAGAGATACAGATATTTAGTCCAGCTCCGGAATCATGTGAGTACAGACACTCAACAAGTCAAAGAGTAAGGCCATATGGCAGCACTTAGAATGTGACAGCCTTAATGAGGCAGTCTGTTCACCAGCATCACCAGTGAGCAACCTGGCGTGATGGCTGTCCTCATTCCCTGCCACCTAAGAGACATGTCCATTTGCCTGTGTGCAGCAATCCAAAAATTCTCATGCACAGAGCACAGCCTGCAGTCATAAACTGTTAGTACTGGAAGGGGCCTGAGCGATAGAGGACAACACCCTCAGGTGGACTCGCTTGCTTTTGAAGGAAAGCCCAGCAACACTCCTTTCCTTCAAAGGACAGCCCTCTATTTCCCAGGTCTGGCCAATAGGGAAGCTAAATCTTCTGAGATATTGTGGTTGGTTCATGGATAGGCACTTGACCCAAGCTGGACCAAGAGAGTAAACCATGAGATGTTTGCCAGATACTTGGAAAAGAGATGCTCTGGGTTGTTAAGCAGGAGGAATAAAAGGCGGAGCTTCTGGTGGCCATCCTGGTGGGAATCCTCTGAGAGCGAAGGGTACCAATGCTACAGAAAGCAGAGCTGAGGAATGAAGGGCATGTGATAACACCTAGATGAGCATCTCCAGCCGTGGGCAAACTACGGCCCGCAGGCCGAATCCGGCCCGTTTGAAATGAATAAAACTAAAAAAAAAAAAGACCATACCCTTTTATGTAATGATGTTTACTTTGAATTTATATTAGTTCACACAAACACTCCATCCATGCTTTTGTTCCAGCCCTCCGGTCCAGTTTAAGAACCCATTGTGGCCCTCGAGTCAAAAAGTTTGCCCACCCCTGAGACACAGGTGTTCCTGAAGTCAGCTCAGACCCTATCTATATATAGATTAACATTTAATTCTCAGAATAAGTTATTGAGATTGCTATCATTATAACATTTATTTTCCAAATTAGAAAACTGAGGCACAGTGAGCTCCCCCCACCCCATAACTTACCCAAGATACTTAGTTGGTAATGGTCTGACCTTATATCGATTTGGATCCAGGCAGCCTGCCTCTGGGGTCTATGTTCTGGAGGCCAATATCCCAGAAGTTATGAATTTTTTTAAAGTTAAATTCTCAATGTTGACATGAGACGAAGTAACATACGCATAATAGGGCTGCAAGAGGGACAAGAAGAGCAGCAAGGATTAGAAAATCTATTTGAAGAAATAATGACAGAAAACTTCCCAGATATGGGGAAGAAAAAAGTTACACAAGTACAGAGAGTCCCAGGCACAAATTCCTTTCATGAAACACTCTAGACTCCCACAAGGAGAGCCAAACAGGACATATCTGTGGAGCAAATTTAGCCCAAGGGCCGACTGTGTGATTCCTCTGTCTATTTATTTCTCCCGTTCTCCTGATAAGAAAACTGATGCCAAGAGAGCTCCCCCTGCATCTGCATTCCTCACCTCCTCAGCCTTCTCACTCTGTCATTTCATGTTTCCCAAGCTTCAAAGTATAATTTAGGACCCAAGTCGAATGAGAGGATCGCTAGCATTTTATTATTACCCCCACTAACTTGTACATGTGTTCTTTTTATTTTGCAGTTACTTTATTATATCACTTTACATTTATGAAATGAGGTAGTTAGTATAATTCATTTATGGGAATCCTAATAAATATTAATTGACTGATTACTAGGTTGTTACAAACAGTTGGTGGGAGGAAAGGGCAAACATGTACACATATTACATTTCTATAGGACTCTGTTTAAATATAGGACAAATTCTCACTAATGCAAATAGGAGTCCCCATTCTGACCCAAAGTATAATCACCTTCATAATGATGGAGTGAATTAAGTGACATCAGAGTAATTTTTCTTGGCATATCACAACAGCTTAAAACAAATATACCACTTGACACTTCAACCTTAATCAGACCTTTCCGGACTGTAGTACTGGTAATGTTAAATAATTTCACTAATCAGTTCATCAGTCTCCCCACCTGAGAGCAAATACAAGTTAGTCGTGTGATGCACAACCAGAAAATGCAAATAACATTATCACTTTTTTAAAATCACTAAAACAAAAAAGGAAAACAAAATTTCTAAAGGTAAACAATATAGACAGACAAAAGCCCAAGTCAACCTGAACGCAGGAAACAGGCATTTGCCCACCTGCCAGGCAGGAAAGTTCACTCATTTATTACCAACCAAATGAAATCTTTCCAGTAGGGTCAAAAGGGCCTTTGTTTTGACATTTAATTCACTGGCGATGTATTTCTTCAGTTAGGATGCAAAACACCTCTCACGTTGCTTTTTCATTAATTGCCTTCATTTTTCAAGTTCCCTGTTTGATTTATAGTCAATTAAAAACACCCTCCAAAGCCCTGACTCATGTATGTTAAGTACAAATATGATTAATGCAATAGGATGCACTCTATGGATGACCTGCCACTAACCAAGGTCAGTGTCTATGTGGGATGACCAAGCAGTGCCTTGATTAAAGGAACTCATTGGGAAGGTGGAAAGCCAGGAATGCAGGGTCATGAATAATCTGGCACTGGATTCACCCAAAACAAGGGGAAAAAAGGCACTCTTTCTATATTTTTCTATATTACAGAGGAAGAATGAACTTAGCTATGGACAGAAAAAAATAAAATGAAATTCTCTCTTTATCTCATCCAGGTTGATAAATGTGGATGGGAAAATTAAGTGACAAATTTCCTTAACATGTTACCACCAACATAAACAAAAATTCCAAGACACTAGACTGGAACTCTGGATAAAAGCCAAGGCACTGAAAACCTGGGTTCCAATCTCGACATCACCAATTGTAAGCGGAACGAGCTTGGGTAGCCCAGCCTTAGTATCCTTACGTATGAAATGGGCACATAATGATTGTTATGAGGTTCCAGGGGCCCTCCACAGTTAGAGAATGCATAGTAAAGTCAGCTGTGAGGGCCACTGAGGCCGCCATAGTTAGCTCTGAGAGTGCCTTTTAAAAGTCCCAATATTTGTGCCCGGCCGGCTTGGCTCAGTGGTTGAGCATCCACCTATAAACCAGGAAGTCATGGTTTGATTCCCAGTCAGGGCATATGCCCAGGTTGCAGGCTCGATCCCCAATGTGGGGTGTGCAGGAGGCAGCTGATCAGTGATTCTCTCATCATTGATGTTTCCATCTTTCCCTTCCTCTCCCTTTCTCTCTGAAATTAATAAAAATATTTTTTAAAGTCCCAATATTTGTTCCTACTATACATACATATAGTATAATATATGCTATATTTTCTAAAATATATGCTCTCTTTTCTATCAGCATAGGCATGTAACCCTTCATGAAGAAATCTGTTGAGAGTTATTCCTGCCTTTCCAGAAAAAAACAAACATATTGAAACCTCAGAAGAATTACCAGAAAAGTCATGAGCAAAAAATATAATAGTAACCTAATGCATTAGATCAGTGATTTTCCACCAAAATGAGGTAAATAAGGACATCTTTGTACATTGTTTACAAAGAAAAGTTTACTCAAATTAAAGGACTCCCTTCTTTTCTGTAATTAGTCCTTACTCCTGTTTTGTTTTGTTTTTGGTGCCAAATGACCTATAAAAAAATTCTGGCCAAAGTAAATGGGGATATATCTTATTTATGTGCTTGTTTTTTCTTTCATATCCAGATGTAAGATAATGTTTTAAAATGCAGTCTTATCAATCCAAGATTAAAAAAAAGAAAAATCTACTGGCCCATGAAATTCAAATCCTAGAATCACTACTTTAGGTGTTTCTTTATCTCTTCAGATGTTTAATGCCCACAATTTATCTTCTAAATCACTTTGTTTAGATGGCCACTAAAAGGAAATTGAACCTATCATAACAACAAGAGCAATGATAGTAATAATAATAGCAGCTTCCATTTATTCATAGCTATGTTCTAAGCATTCTCCCATTAAGTATTGCATCAACTCTAGAAGTAAGGGCTGTCATTATCCATCTTAGAGAGATGATACAATTCAAACTCAGATGATTCAAATAAGTCACTCATGGTCACATAGTTAGCATGTGACTGTGCCATATGTTTAAACCCTAGTCAATGTGAGTTTACAACTGTGTGAGCTTAACCACAATATGATAATCATCAGGAGGATGCAATTGGAACCCATCCTTATCAGAACCATCAGAAGGTGAGGTCCCTCCCCTGTGTGTTTCCACCAGGGAGCAGGGTTAAGAAGCTGCCTGGCTCAGGGGAAGCATACCCTGATTAGAAAGGCAGCATTTAGTCACAGCTACATGACCTTGCTCACCTGCGAGACCTTTGTCCTCTCTCCCATGTAGGCCCAAGTTACTCTGAGATGGCTGCTTCCTTTGTGGTCTGTCTCTGTCTCTTCGGAAGTCTCTTTGCAACTTGGGTCACACTGCTTTTTGGGATCTGTACAGAGACTGTGAGCATGCACTAAACACGAGTGTTCTACATTTTCCAGCCTTGTTTGTAGTTAGGTTGCCTACATGACTAGGTGTGTCTAATAGCATGAAGTAGAAATGATACATGTCCCTTGTGAGCTAAGGTGGTTAAACATGTGGGGTGTCTTCCCCATACTCTTTTTTAAAAAATATTTTTTATTGATTTCAGAGAGGAAGGGAGAAGGAGAGAGATATAGAAACATCAATGATGAGAGAATCATTGATCGGCTGCCTCCTGCACACCCCACACTGGGAATGGAGCCCTCAACCTGAGCACGTACCCTGACCAGGAATTAAAATGTGATCTCCTGGATCATAGGTCAGTGCTCAAAGACTGGTTCATAGGTCGATGCTCAACCAATAAAGAGTATGGAGCCAAGCCCCCTTACTTTTCTATTGTCCCCCTGTCTTGCAGCTTGGAGGTATAAGAGTGATTGGAAGGTACAAGATGGCAGGACCAAGTTAGAAGTAGGATGGGTCCTCAAGTTCCCACTTGGAGGGCAGCCACTTGGAGGAGAACTACCCAGGAAAGCAGCCCAACCTGCATCCACATGATCTGAATGAAAAATAAATGTCTATTCTCTTAAGTCACTGGGGTTGTTTGACACCAAGCCTGTTCTGAGTAATGCAGGTCCTTTCTGAAGTGTAAATTCTTGTAAGTTTGCATTTTAGGTGAACTCAGATGTGGCTATTTCCCTCTGTGTATCCGTGTGGACCAAGAGGAGTAATCCATGAAGGATAAACAAGGTGGAAGAAAAGTGCTGACCTGAAGTGGCTGAGGGCCAATGGGTGTCCTTCGCTGGTAGTTGGAGATGTCTCCCACTAACAGAGGCTAGAGGATCATGATTTCCCTAGCAAATATGATGATCACAGGTCTGCCCCCAATGAGGGAGGTCTGTCACAGCTGACAGGACAGAGCAGAATGTGCTGTTCTGTATTCTCCATCACACCAGATAGGAGCTTATCACTTGGCCTTGTTCCATATCAGCTGGGTGGCTGGTCAGTTTTCCAGGCCAGCTATTCTTCTGGAGCCTGGGTGTCAACTAGGAGGCTAACACCAGAGTCACTACTCAAATCTCATGGTGCCAATATAGTGGGCACACCAACCAATGTTAGATAGTTCTGGGTGTCGAAGATCACGAGGGCCTCTTGCCACAAACCCATCGCAGATGCCTCCCTGAGACCGAAGACCTTGAATAAATGTCTCCTTCCTGGGTTTCTGCTTTCTTCCCCTTTCTTCTTGCCATACTCATCAAATATGGGAATAACCAAATATCTTCCCAGCTTACCTTTCAAGACTGAGATGAAGCCAGTAAAGTTTTGCCCAAGTTATCACGAGTTGGGGGCTTTGCTTCACACAGTGAGAGACCATGAAAGTGCTCCCCTGGTCACATTAAAGGAAACTGGGATGCCATGTTTTCATCCTAGAAGCTTGTTGAAAATGGTCTTTTAAAGACGAAAGCAAGTCTAGCTAGTGGAAAGGAGAGTAGAATAAAGAGTTATTGGGATGTGAAAAAAATAAAAGGCTTTAGAACAACTGAGAGAAAGATGTATTGAAGTGAAGAGTGAATAAAATATTAAGGAAATAAAAGGAGTGGAGGTGACCATTAGTAACAGTTAAAGTAGAAAAAGATAAGTCATTGAGAATTGAGGAGAAAGATGAAAAAAGATAAAAGGATATAGTACTGTCTGAACAAAGAGAGCAGGGAGCTGTGGACAGAATAAACATTTCCTGTAATTTGCTAAAAGCTGAACACAGAACCAGTGGAATATGAGCAGATGTATGGGGTATGAGCAGATGTACTAGGTCTGTCAGGCAAGGAGACAACACTATCAGATAACCATATAGAATAGTGAAAATTATAGACAACAATTGATTATGCTGTGTTTATACCTTCTGGAAATTCACAATGGTTGGAAATCAAAGCTCTTAAATAGGGCAAATATAAAGGAAAACTGGAAAGAGAAAATGATATAAGCCCAAGATAATGTTAGTAACCTGGTTTCTTTTAATATCTGTTATTACCTAGAATATCAGATTATATTTATATATCACTAAAATATCCAAAGCCATTTCCTGATCTCAACCTCCAATATCTAAGTATTTTAACACTTTCTGGTCTTGTTTGATCATTTTCCATTTTCATCCAGATGCTGACCTTATATCAATATAGTGTTCATGCTGACAGTACTCATCACTCAGTTTCTTAATCACATTTTTCAGAGACAGAAGGGTCTTGTGTTGAACTATGAGGAAATGCATGAAAGGACTGAGAATGAGAGAGGAAAAAGGAGCGGGGAGGCATGGAGAAGGGAGAAAGACTTAAAATGTTACTGAGTTAGGGAAAAAAGTTTACTCAGTATCTTGAGTTTGTATTCCCTCTTGGAAGTGGAATAGAGCAATTTCTTCTACTACTTCTGGAAATCCAGATTTTCCAAACACTATCCAACAGGCCATCTCCAATCTCTAAAAACTTTCTTCTTTATTCAGGCACAGTTAAACATATTCACAAGGTCTATACACATAATAACCTCTGTCCATTGCTTTGAGATGAACTCAAAAGTACCTAACTAGATCTGCTCCCTGTATTTTCAACCCTAATAATATATATGGACCTACAGTTTCACTGAGAGGGGGTTGTCAGACTTTGCTGACTATAATTCACACACAAAGTCACATATAAATATTTAAAATCCTCAATTCCCATATCACTGACTTTTCTTGAATGTGCTATCATCGATAATCAAACCAGTTCTATTTACCATTTACTAGCTTACACAGAACCAACAACCATAACCCACTTAATTACTGAGGGATTGAAAACACATACATACACACACACACACACACACACACACACACACACACTGGTGATATTGGAATGTACAGTATGGTTTAGTTTAAATTAAAAAGATCCCCCAAAGTATGATTGTTTCCAGCTTCTCAGCAGTGAATTAAAAGCTGTTTGGTGTAGTGAAGATTACAGAAGCAATCACATTTACTAGTATGAGCCTGCTTTGCATATCAACACTATTAATTTCCATACTCAGGGTGGCTTCACATTTCCACGTGTTAATATAGATACCATTTGGGATGATCACTGGAAAAAAAGAGAAGTGTTTGTGTGTGTGTGAGAGAGAGAGAGAGAGAGAGAGAGAGAGAGTGAGAGAGAAGAGCAGCTGATACAGATGAGAGGAGACCCAGAAAAATGGTTCTCATAAACCAAGTTTTGTTTGAAATATATTGATTCTGATTAATAGCAAAATCAAAAGACAAATGAGGGTTTCTGATGGCCTGACCCAGGAGTCACACTCAGGGATCAAATGAATATGAAATCGCATATTGGAATTCACTTATTGTGCCAGTCCTGCACAGTGTCATTACAGACTCTAATTATTGAAATGATTTCATTGGTGTAATTGCATCAAGATGTGCCTGGGCTTCACCTTGGATAGCTCCCTTGATGCTTGACATTGCATCTTCATTATTGTGTTCCTTTCAACTCTTAAACTGTGTTCCAGCCTCACAGAACAATCTACTCAAGCAGGCTGTCGTTGTTTTTTTAACTGTTCTTTAAAATGCCAGCCACAGCACAGGAATGAAGGAATGTGGGCCAGCCTCGAAGGCAAACCTGAGGCCAGAGGGGCAAATGTACAATTATCTTCCCTGAAGGGACCTCGGAGCATCTGACCAAATTACAACACTGTTTTCATATCCTTCATTCCAAAGTGTTAAAGAATAGTGCTCAAGAACCTACAATTAAATGGTTATTTGTCTACCATCAGTGGTAAATTCTACTCTGCTAAAGCTATTTTTGTTATGAGTTTAGCAATGTATTCCATGCTGTCATAAAGATTAAACAATATAATATCATCATTAAATAACATAAAGAGATTATAACCACAGGTCTGAGCATATTTTAAGGAAATTAAATGGAATTTGGGAAGATTTGAGTTTAATCCACAAATAGCCAGTAGAGGTTTTGACTCTTTTCTGAAAAACCATCTTATTAGCCTTAAGAAATATAGTGCCCAGTGAAATAAGCCAGTCAGAGAAAGACAAATACCATATGATCTTACTTATATGTGGAATCTAATGAACAAAATAAACTGATGAACAAGATAGAACCAGAGTCATAGATACATGGTACAGACTGACAAAAGTCAGAGGGGAGGTCCGAGGGGTGGGTGGTATAAAAAAAAAAGGTGAAGAGAATAGACAAAGAACATATATGCATAGCACATGGACACAGACAACAATGTGGTTAGGGCCAGAGGGAGGGAAGGGTGGGGTCTGGGTGGAGAGGAGCAAATGGGGGGGGGAGGAAATGAGGGACATCTGTAATAATGCCAACAATAAAAATAAACATTTTAAAATAAGGGTTTTGAGTTCCTATGCCTAAAAATTTCCAGAAGCCAACATCCTGCCCTCACCCTTATTTTGATCTAATGCTGTGAATGACATAATACAAGTAGGACAGTGGTCCACAGGAAGGCAATGGTTCTGCTTTCAGGGATCTGCCAGGCGAGATGAATTTCATTTCCTTTACACAGAATAGTACTCACATTGGAAGGTGGTGGTCCCCTTTTGTGGGAGTGGTTGGAAAATACTCACCAGTGATCAAATACTAAAAAGAGATACACATGACACTGTTCACCTCTAAGCTGGCAAGACCCTAATTCAAGACCATCCACTCTGGGTCAAGCAGAATGAGAATAATGGGCAGAAAAATGCTTAGTGTAAGGAATACCACATCCCGAGACATATTAACAGACATTGGTGAATTTAAATATGAGGATAGGCCAGAAATATCCAGTGACATTGCTTACAGTTCAGAATCGCCTGGTCCTCGATGAATTCCACTGGCTGATCGATGTGGAACAGTTTCTGCTGAAATCCAGGAGTGCAGTCCAAATCTTCTGCAGATGTTAGCAGCAGCACCTGAGAACACCAAAGCCATCAATATTTTAACATCAGCTCATGTGTTGGGCCTGCTTCCTTGTACCAAATCTGTGACTTTTAGAAATAAGCTGAGGATTTAATTTCATTTCCCAAATGAAGAGGTAAGTTGATACTTCTCCTGTGGTTGCCAACAATGTTGTTTTGGCAATGAGATTTGGAAAACGTGCAAATGGGAACAGCTGCAGCAGTTTCCATTCAGTTGCAGTTAAAGGAATAAGTTAGTCACATTTTTATACCTGCTAAGAATCTCACCACAGTTTCCATGTGTGAAATTTCATTACAAAATCTGTCAATTTTATACAATGCCCGAGTTAAAACCAACTTCGCTTTCATAGATGCGAAGGAGCATTGTCATCTGTGAGAGGAGGAAAACTAACTATTCCATTGGAAGTTACTTCTAAAAGGATTCTAGGGCCCACTAGACCTTCACAGTCCAAGATGGGGGCCATGACCACACATGGCTACAGAGCCCTTAAAATGTAGCTGGGCTGAAATTGTCAGTATAAAACACATGTTGGATTTTGAAGCCTGAATACCAAAAAGCAAAAATAAAGTAAAATACCTAATTAATCACTTTTATATGAATTACACATTGAAATTATAATGTTTTACAGATTGGACTAAATGTTATTAAGATTAATTTGACCACGTTTTTTACTTTTGTAAATTTGGCTGCTAGAACATTTAAAATTTACAATTGCTTCCAAAGCCTCAGCTTTGCCTTTGAAAGTCCTTGGGACACTTCATCCAGGGCTCAAAAACTTAGGGTATATATTTGGGAACCTAAAACGGCACACTCCTGAACAAGAGGCAATTTAGTAAGTAAGAAATAGTTGTAGGTTTAGTAGGCAAAGACTGTAAGACCTGTGAAGTTAGGGATCGCCTCTCTTCCCAAGCACCTACCACATAAGATACTCCATATACTCACATTATGACTGCTAACGTTTTCACCCCTTACTATATGTCCAGCACTGTGCTAAGTTTGCTGGATGCATTATCTCCTTTAGTCTCCACAAGCCCTGTGATGTATCTAGTGTAGGATACATTTTTACAGACAAGGAGCCTGGCATCCTCGTGCAGTTAACAATGCTTGCCCAAGGTCCTCCATTTAGGATGGCAGAGCCAGAGTTTGAATCCAGGTTTAAGGGTCCACTGTCAGAGCCCCTCTCATACCCCTCAGGCTTCCCACATGGCGTGGGACTTTGCATTATCTTCCTTGAGATATCTCTGTGACCTGTGGGAGGCTGCTTTACCTGAGCATGGTCCAGGCAGAGGGTTTTGGAAATTCATAACCTCAGGAGCAGCCTGTGACCAGAACTGATGAGAGCTGGTGCACACATACCCCGGCTCCCTGGCCCCTCAGGTGAGATAGCAGTTTCCACGTGGACTTGAGCTCCAGTTGCCCACAGTGGTATCTGACTTAATAACGCACCTTCCATTTGCTACCTTCTCTCCCTTGGCTCATTTCCTCATCCCTGTTGGTATTTTTCTGACATCACCTTCCAGATAAAACTACTTGCTCTCAAATCCTTGACTAGGTGTTTGCTTCTTGGAAAACCAAAATTTGATACCAGAACACAAATTCTTAACCACTGCACACAGGCTGTTGAAGGAAACTCATTACTATCCCCACCAGCAAACTCAAAGAAGTGTACAAAAGGTTGGAAGCTGTGGGACCAAGGCTTCTCTCTAAATACCAGCTTCTGAAATGCACTGAACCTCAAGGAACAAGAGCAACCATCAATCTCTGGAGGTTCGCGGTGCAGCCGGCCTAAGAAGCATCAGAGAAATTGCAACGGGAGAGTCATCACCCTGACCGACATCATCTTTCTAAAATCAAAGGGGGAAGGATGCTGTAGCCCAGTGCCCGTACAGTCCTGCTTGTAAAACGCCCCCTTGCTTTGAGAGCAGGCTCTGGTTAAATCACTGCTGAGGCAATCATAATGCTGACAACCCAGTGGCACACACAGAATGCAGATTCAGGACTCAGAATAATTAGCTGGCAATTTTGCAAGCAGAAGATCTATAACTGGCCAACATTAATTCAGTTAAACAGCAAATGGTCAAAGGTTGCCTCCAGGCACCCTGTGTCTACAATTACACATTAACCTTCTAATCAGCTCATTCTGCTCACAAATCCCAGACCAGTAAGCCAGTCATCCCCTAGGACCATCGGAGATGATGTTTCTCCAGGGATCCTGAGTGTAAGAAACCAGAACTGATGGAGAGTCTGGGTGAGTCCCCCATTCTTGTCTCTCTGCAGCTCACTCTGTCCTCATTCCTTGGCAGGTTCTATTCGGGATTCCTCTGGAGTCATAAAGGAAAAAGAAACCTTTTCCAACCGCTGATCCTCAGGGAGGGTGGGAATGGTGGGAGGCTCCAGCTTTGTTTTTGCAAATTCTTGGGTCACTTCATTGTCCAGTCAAAATTCAGGTTAAATGCTTAATAATATAAAAGCATGCAGCACTTCCACGGGCAGGGTGTGACTTAGCAAGGTAAGCACTAGTCGAGTGATTAATTTGCTCACTCCTCCCTGCCCTCACCCATCCACTTGTGCCCCAATACTCACTGAACTCCAGGGCTCAGTGAGCACTGGCTAGGGCGGGGGCGGGGGGTCCTGGAGCTCACAGAGAAGCCGTCAGTGCAGCAGTCAAAGCAACAACTCCAGAGTCACTTTAATGGTTCAAATCTGGGCCCTGTCCTTTACTGACTGGATGGTCTGCATTTTTCATGGTCCCTCTCTGTTTTCAAATCTAGAAAAACATGGGAAATAAGATGTGCACTGGGAGGGGCTGGTGGATTCAGTGGGCAGCTGCAGGTAAAGCAATCAGTGCCACGCGGAATGTAAGTAGTCAGTGTGTGCTGACCGTCAGTGTGGACTAGAAAAGGTGAGAGGCAGTAACAAGTCATAATTTAATGTATTGATTAAAATTCAATTTGACTTGAACGGAAATTATAGGTCTCTTCGGGAACATGTAAAAGCTGGGGACAGGGAGTCTAATTTCATAAAGAGGGATCAGAAACTAAACCCACAGCAAAAAGCATTCCTGCTTCCATCTCAAAGATGGGTCAGAATTAGCTGGGTAAATGGAGAGGAACATACATTTGTCTTTTTAACCAATAAGCTCTTTATTTTCACTTTAATTCCTTTGTGCCTCTATGGGTTTCACGTAACCCATCTCTGAATTGACAAAACTGTGTTTAAAAAAGAATCCAGACTACCTGGACATACTTTCCCCCAAACCCTCTTTAACTTCTCCAAGATATATGCTGTGAGCAACATTCCAAATGTGTCTTTAATGCCATGGCAATAATATTCTTTCTATGTGGTTCTTTTGTTCATTAATGCTTTTGCTTGCACCTCATAAACAAGAGGCAACCAATACATCTGTGAAAGCTCAGCAAAGATCAAATTTTATGATCACCAAAGGATTTCCATTACTTGAAAATTGCAATCAGTCTGCTTATGAAAGCAGATTCATGTTCAGACAGACGGTAAGCACAGGACAGAGCCACACTGGTTCTGTATGAATCCCCATCTACCAGCTGTGACCTCGGCCAAGTAACCCTGTAGCTTAGTTTCCTCAGATGGAAAATGGGAAAATAATAGCATCTTATACGTTATTATGAGGATTAAGTGAGTTAATATTGTAAAGAGCCTTATGTAATTGCTAAATCAATGTTTGCTCTTTTTATTATTAGTAGTATTACTATTTTTATATATTAGGTTTAAACCAATATACAGATTTACTGTTATTCTCCAGAACAGACATTTATAAATATCATCAAAATATTACTTTGTTGCTATTATAAAACTTTTCAGTTGTAGACTGTGCTCAGAAATATTCAAAGGGAAACAGCAGGAACCCGAACCAGGTGGAGGATGAGGAGGGAGTCTGCATCTCAGGGTCAGCTGCACAATAAGCACATCGGTTCCATTGTGAGCTGAGGCGCGCTGCTTTGGGAGGACTCCATGCAGCCTTTCAAATGGGAGCTCAGAGCTCCGTCCTCTGTGTAAAGCCACTGCCTTAAACGTATGCATGGATAGCAAATCCTCACATCAAGCTCTTTATACCCGCTTCTCTTCTTAGCTCCTGTTTCTTTGCTGCTATTCGGAGCTTTCTCTTTCAAACAGAAAAGGTTTTTGTTTATCCTGACAAGTACTGATTCAAGAACATAGCCAAGTTTGGAGTTTGCTTCCAGAAAGATGACTTTTTTTTCTGTCCCAGAGTACAGGTTGCCAACTGGCAGCATATGGGATGAACGTGGCCAGCCGAGGTGGTTGATTTAGCCACACCATCTGTCATAAACGTTAAATTATCATGTTATGTAGCGTACACCTGTCTGAGCTGCCCTTGTCCGCACCTCTCCCTATGTTATTGCTCCCACTCACTGACTCAACTATTCAATTGTCTGGCCCTCTAGGCTTGTGAGTTTGCCACTGTTTTAGACTTTGGAAATAGGCCCTTCAAGCAAAGAACTCTTGTCATGAGTCTCTAGTTTCTTGTCACAATAGTTCCCATAGCCGTGTGCTCTGTTGCAATAATTTTTGCCACGTGAGGATTTTCATTACTTCTAGGTCTGACACTTAAAATGCCTTCTCTTCTCCATCTGTGAAAATGGGAAGGAAGGACTTTCACGCTGGCAGAGTCACCCAACAGAAAGAGGTCAAGAGTCAGTCACTGCTTAGGGGACAAGCACCTGGGAGAACTGCCCCACAAGGAGCCTCCACGCGCAGGTGCAATCCCTGAGGCCTGGGGGTTTGCACAGCAGTGTGCCTGGCTGAGTGCACACCCAACAGGAAGGGATGGAGAAGAGGGCCCTCTACACCACGGCGTCACAAATACACCCCGGAGGCCAGGGGCAAACATCTGAACTGAAGAAACGCTTCACACAACTGTAATCAAACAGCCATAAATAAAAAGAAACTTCTTGCCACAAATAATTATTTCAGCAGGCTGTGGACAACCTCAGAGCTC